GCTGCTCGGGAGCTAACAGGCTCTGTCCCTGCCCGAGTGCTGGCTTCTGTGGGTGGTCCCGGGCTGAGGGGGACCTGATGGGGTGGGCAGGGGCTAGGCTCCCGGAACTGCCACTCCTCAGGGTTTGCATGGAGTCCTCGCAGGGGGTGTTGGTGCTGTCAGGGAGCCTGGGACCCCTACAGGTGCCTGTCCCTAGTTGGGGTTTTGGCTGCAGGACAAGGGGTGTGCTGCTGGGTTGCTCCCACTGCCCAGGTGGGGGTGGGGGTGTAGGCAGAGGAGAGATCTGCCTCCACCACAGGCTGGCTGCTTTCACCCCAAGGGACTGGCTGCCAGTCCCACAGAGCCCAGGGGGGAGGGGCCCTTCTCCCTCCCCTAGGGGGTCTCTGACCGGCGTCCCCAGACAGGGCTCCTAGGACAGCTTTACCCAGATTGCAAAGCAGTAGGTTTCAGGCCAGAGCCCAGATGCGCTGGAGGTCAGCTACCCGGGGTGAGCTGAACGGGGCAGGGTGGAATGTGGGGAGCTGGGGGGCAAGTGGAAGCAGAGCCCTGATCCTGAGTGAGCTACAAGTGCGGTCATCGGAGATGACCCAGAACTGCGAGGAGGAGGTCCTGGGACTGAAGCCCGGACAGGGGGGTGAAGTGGAGGGAGAGGCATGGGCCGCTCCCAGCAGCCCCGCCCCCTCTCAGAGAAGCTGGGGAAGGAGCAGCGGGGCTAGGTGAGCGCAGAGTACGTGGCTCACCTTTCCTCAGGGTGGCTCCACTGGCTGCCGAGGAGAGCCAGAGCCGGGTGTGGGGGGCCAGGGAAACTTCCAGTAGAGTGCATCTTGGGGTGACAGGGGGCGGGTTGCCTCTGGCTCTCTGGCCAGAGCAGAGCTGGGTCCTACAGCTCCCTGAACCCTCAGGGACCAGCAGTGGGCAAATCCGTAGTGGGTAGAGATCCCATGAGGTAGAGCTAAGGATGCTTGTCTGCCTAGGACCGGGCGAAGGGGACACCTGTTCTGGGGCCTACCTCTCCCTCATCCTCTTCCCTGGCCAGAGCCTCCTCCTCTGAGCAGGCAGCTACCCCTCCCAGGCAGAGATGGAATCAGAGTCTCAAGAGCCCAGGTGGTCCATCCCTAGCTGATCCCAGCCAGCCTCCAGAGGCCCCAGGGCGGCCTGAGCCAGGGGACAGGGAACGTGGGGGAGCAAAGCCTCAGGATCGGCCCCAGTGGTTTCCAGGGAGGGGCTGAGCCAAAGATTTCTGCCCTGGGGCCAAGGGAGGTCTCCCCACCGTGGTCTGGGCCTCATCAGGCACTTCACACCCAGAGGGATCAGGCTGCTCTGCCTCTTCTTCTGAGCCCTGAGGGCTCTCTCCCAGGCTGGGCCAGCTTCCTCTAGTTCCAGCTGACCCTCTGCCGAGGGCTCCGTGTCCTCCCAGGGCACTGTGCGTCCCTGAAGCCATTAAAGACTCAAACACCAGCCCCTGCTAGCGCCAGTCCAGGACTGGAGGGCAGTCATCAAGGGCAGGGTCTTAGTCAATAGCCCCAGGCCTCGCTGGCTGTAAGCCTGGTGCTGCCTGGACAGAGGTGGTTTCCCTCAGCTGACAGCCCCCGGATTCTCCCTTGGAAGAGGTCAGCGCCTCTCCCTTCTCTTCATCCCAACTGGCACCGATTTCTGACACAGACCCATCAGCTGCTGACACCTCCTCAGAGAGGTGAGCCGGACAAGGATGCTGTCCCCAGTCAGAGGAGAACACGAGGCCAGGATAAGGACCTAGGACTTCTGACGGACATCCTGGTGAGGGCCTACATGAGAACAGGGCAGCGAGGCTGACCAAAGTGCCCAGCCTCTCTGCCCCCTAGATCCTCAAGACCCTAATGGCACTCGCAGGGACAGAGGGGCACGGTTACTGTAGGAGGGGAGGGAGGTTGCTTAGGCTGGCTGAAGGCTGCTGGGAAAAAGCTGCAGAAAGGCAGGCGAAGGGGAGGTGGGGAGAGGTTCCTGAGCTGGAGACGCACCTCTTTCCCACCTGCGACACCTCCTCCACCTCCTTGCGTGCCCCGTCCCCCAGCCCCGCACAAGGCAGGCCTCCGTAGCAAAGTCCTAAAATGCCTCCTGGCATGAGGCCTTGTCAAACATCCTCCCGAGGCTTGTTACCCCCGTCAATGTGAAGTCCAATCCCGTGGCCAGATGCATAAGGCCCTTTGCCAATCGGCCTGTGCCAACCTCTAAGGCCTCCTGGCCCATCTTGCTTAACCTTATCCCCAACGTTCTAACTGCTGTGTGTCCCTACCCTGGGACGGAGCAGAGCACAGCTCAGTGATTGGTGATGGGTTCAACTAGACACACGTGTGTCCTGGTCTGGGCTTCACCACATCCTTCACGTGATCCAGACCCAGAGGGGTCAGGCTGCCCTGCCTACGTTTCTGGGACATGAGGGCTCTCTCCCAGGCCGGGCCGTTCACATGCAGACACGCACCTTTGTATAAAAGCCCACCACCCAACTGCATGTGCTTCCTATCAAATCACACAAACCACGGAGTTGGGAAATCTGAGCCAAGAAGGGTCTGACAAATCTGATTTATGGATCCCTGGAGACATCACCATCCCCAAGCCCTCGAGGGGCAGCAGGGAGGCAGGAGTGGGTCCCCAGGTTTGGCCCAGCCCTCGCTGGACCCCAGGGTCTCTGAGCCCCAGAAGGTGGGCAGAACATGGTCAACTAGGTCCCAGGTTCTGATTCTGTTCTGTGTCAGGACTTTCTGTATAGCCCCAGACACGCTACCTTCCCGCTCTGTTTCTCCAACTATAAAGCAAAGGAATTTGGATGAGCCGACACCTAGAGGCTACCCAAGCTCATGGTCTAGCTGCTATCGATCCGTGGCCATTTCCGAGAGCGGGAGGGCCTGAGAGAGCAGCTGAGAGTGCCAGGCACTCCACAGGAGCTCCCGCCTGGCCAGGAAGAGAGTCCGGGGCTAGAGATGGTGGTGGGTGCAAGGAATCTGAACCAGGAGAGACAGAGAAGCCAAGAGCCACGAGATGGGAGCAACTTGAGATTTACGGAGCAAAAGATAAGCCCTATGAACACCCACCATGCAGGGTTTATCTCATATTTTCATCTAGATTGAGGCCAAATGTGTGCTCTTTCCTCTCTGGGGCACCAAATCTAATGGGTGAGGCTTGATCCAGCCCCTGGCCTCCCAGTCCCCACAGACACAGGGCAGGGGCCAAGGTGGCACCGGGGAGGCCACTGGCAAGGCCCCACTGCTGCCCAGCCCCTCAGCAGCTGTGTCCACAGGCATGGGCATGCAGCAGCATCTCTTGTGCTGAAATATCATTCGCTCTATGAATACAAACATGCATCCCCCTCTTGGCATGCCAACACAAATACATTGGGGATGTGGCAGACAGGCCCTCCGCCACAGGCCAGCCCTCTTCCGCTCCTGCCTGGAGCTGGGCACCCGGTGCTGAGACTCCTGGTCCCGAGAGCACGGAGTGGAACAGGGTCAGGGCGTGTGTGGAGGTTGGCAGAGGAGAGCCAGCTCACAGGCACCGTCACGTGGGGACACCACCCTCCGAGCCTGTGACCCCCATCCGCAGACTCCGTGCAGGACAGGAGGAACTGGTGCCTCTGCATCGGAGTGGTGCACACTCTCCTCTTCCCCAAACCTCCGTGCCCAGCGCCCAGCTCCCCTCCCTCTCAGTCCCCAGCCTGCCCGATGTGCCTGCCGTCCCAGGTCATGGACCGTCTGCAAGCTGGGCTGTCCAGAGCTCAAGTGGGGCAGGAAGGCTGTTCCCCGGGGGAGGGCAGGCCAGAGCCCCCCACACCTTCGGAAAGGAGGCAGTGGCCGGGGAGGCAGAGGGGCCAGCAGCAGCAGCCCAGGCCTCGCTGTTCTCTATGGCTTTTTATTCCTATGTGATTCTACTGCTCACTCATATAGGGATTGGAGCCGTGGCGCACGGCGGGGGCGGCCGGCGGAGGGCACGCGGAGAGCCGGGACAGCGGCCACCTTTCCTCAGCGCAGGCGGCTGGCCTGGCCCAGAGGACCCTCCTGTTGCTTTCCTCCCCACGGATGGAGGGGACTGAAGGACCCCATCACTGCTCTGACCCACCACCCAAGGCTGACCCCCATACCAAGGCTGGGACCAGGAATGGGACTGAGTTCTCAGAGGAGTGGCTGAAGGAACTCGGGCATTCAGCCCGGGGAAAGGCTGGCCCAGGGAAACAGGGCCAGTGTCCTATGAGGCTGGGCGGCCCCCAGAGAGAGGTCTGCTCAACCAAAGAAGGGGTGCTCTGTGGCTAAGCTGTCCAAAGCGGGAAAGGGGCCTGGAGGGAGGCAGTGAGCAGCACCCAGTGCGGCGTATGGCGGAGCCTGGAGACAGGGGCAGGATGCCACAGGGGAAGTCACTGCTGGGTGGGTGGCTGGTCCCTCCCGGGCCCCACAGCTGGTGGTCCTTAGGCCTGTCTCCTTGGGGTCTCTGCTCACCCCCGTGGAGCATGCTGGGAGCCAGGCTCAACCCTCCCAGGCTCCTGTTGGTGAAACAAGTGCCAAGTGTGTTGTGTGGGGAGCTCCCACCAGGTCCTGGTGGGGTGGCTGCAGCCGGACTCACTCCCTCCCCAGCTGCCCCCCTGTGAGCCCTTGCTCTGAGGGAAGATGCACTGAGACCCCGCAGAGTGAGCGGTCCTTTTTATTCCCAGTCCTTCTTGTTCCGCCCCACAGAGAAGCAGGCTCGGGAGCTCAGCAGTGGGGCTGCTTGGGGAATGCCGGGAACAGCGAACTGGCCTCGGGGGTGCTGCTGCCGAGGCTGACATTAGGGGCGGGAGAGAGCCGCCATCGTACCACTCTGGCTGGGGGAACGGACGTGAAGCAGAGGCCCTGGGTGAGACGTGTTCAGGCCAGCCACGCAGCCGTGGCCAAGGCGTGGAGGGGCCCTGAGGCCTGGGGAGGCCCTGGGGACCGACCCTGCTCCGCCCCAGAAGCTGCCCGGGAGGCCTTCTCTGCACTCCCAGATCACGGCCTGTGTCACCCCCGCGGCCGCAGGAACAGGAAGTGCACGTCCATGACGTTGGTGCCCGTCAGCCCCGTGTACAGCAGGTGGGCCCCGCCCTGCAGGCGGTGGAAGAAGGTGTGCGAGTCGTTGCGGGCCAGGAAGGTGGCCACGTCCAGGCCCTCCGCGGCGGCCTGGCTGGCGACCTCCGGCGTGACCCAGGCGCCGGCGGCCTCGGTGGGCCCGTCCCTGCCGTCGGTGCCGCCGCTCAGAAACAGCACATCCACAGCCCCCGGCGGCGGCCGCGGCCCCAGCTCCGCCGCCACACGCAGGGCCAGCTCCTGGTTCCGGCCGCCCTTGCCCGAGCCCTGCAGCTGCACCGTGGGCTCCCCGCCGGCCAGCAGGCAGATGGGGCCCCCGGCCTCCTTCACCGCCTCCAGGGCCTCCTCCAGCTGCAGGTCCGGGAGCTGGAGCGCGGCTGCCTGCTCCTGCAGCTGCTTCTCCTCCCCCGCGGAGACTCCGGCGAGGTGGGCGCCGGCCACCCGGGCCAGCAGCCCGTAGAACGCGGCCACGCTTTTCACGTCGCCCTGCATGGCGGCGCTCAGCACCACGGCCCGGTACCCCAGCGCCTCGGCCTGCCGCCGGGCCTCGGCCAGCGCCAGCGCGTTGGAGCCGATGATCACGTTGTGGACGTGGCCACAGGTGTGTGGCCCGTGGGGGTCCGAGTCGGCCCGGGCCAGCACGGTCTTCACCGAGCGCGGCAGGGCGGCGCGCAGGCCGTAGCGGTTAAGGATGTGCAGGCAGTCTTGCACGTTGTGGACGCTGGCCACGGTGGGGCCGCTGGCGATCACCTCCACGGGGTCTCCTATCACGTCTGACAGAATCAGGCTCACCACCTGGGAAGGGGTGGAAGAGGCAAAGCTCGGCCCTGCCTGCCTGGTCCTCACCCCAGAGCTAGGAGGGCAAACTGCCCCTGCCTACCCCCACCCCCACCTCCCATATGTGTCCATACACCTTACACCACCTGCTGCGTTTCCCGGCCCGTTTCCAACCCCTCTCGAGTGGGTCTGCAGAACACCTGGCCATGTGGACTCAACCTTGCCCTCTGAGCTCCCTCTCGGATGGCCCTGCGAACCCCATGCCAGGCCCCTGCCGATCTGTAAGCTGTTTCAGGCTTTCAGCTGCTGGGCACGCGTGGGCCTGGTCCCACTAACCCGGGGCCGCCTGGGTGAGAAGTGGCTCACACACCTGGGCGGGGTAGGCAGCCTGGGCGAGCCCCCCGCCCTTGAGCTGGGACAGGGCCTTCCGGATGGTGTTCAGCTCCTGGATTGTGGCTCCGCGGGCCGCCAGCAGCTTGGTGAGTGTCTGCTTCTCCTCCAGTGTGACGGGTGGGATGGGGGCGGGCAGCAGGGCTGAGCCCCCACCTGCAGAGACATTGAGGACCTCAGACAGAGGGGACAGCAAGGATGCAGGTGGGCAGTGAACACCTTAGGGAAGGGATGGGACCTGGAAGGTAGAGGTAGGGTGCCCCTACATGGACGTGCAGGGAATGTGTGCAGTCACCACAACCTGGGCACCTGAGGCTGTGCCCTGCCTTGGGGTACCCCAGGTCCCCAGCAGGCACTGGAAGAACTGTTCCTTAAGGTCTTGAAAGAGGCGGCAGATATGGGGTGGGGGGGGGATGGAGAACCAAGGAGGCCCCACAGGGGCTGCAGGGTCTGGGTTCTAGCCCCAGGTGACATCGGTACAGACAGCAACAACAGCAGTGACATTTTCCTTGCAAGACTCTGAGGTAGGTGCTCCCTGTGTGCCCTCATGATCTGCCAATGGGTCAGTCTAACCCAGTGGTTGGCAAACTCATTAGTCAACAGAGCCAAATATCAACAGGACAACAATAGAAATTTCATCTGAGAGCCACATTTTTTAAAACATAAACTTCTTATAACGCCACTTCTTCAAAATAGACTCGCCCAGGCTGTGGTATTTTGTGGAAGAGCCACACTCAAGGGGCCAAAGAGCCACATGTGGCTCAAAAACCGCAGTTTGCCGACCACTAGTCTAGGGGAGGCCAGACCACTGGCCCAGGGCCGTCTAGAAGTCAGCCATCCAGGCTCCTCACTGCCTTTCCTGCTTTGTGTCCCTGGGGGCTCAGACCAATGGCTTCTTGAAGACCTGATATTGCCCCCCCCCATCTCTCCCCAGCCAATCTGGCGCCCACACCTGAGATGAGCACAAGCAGCAGGTCGTCAGCTGTCAGCCCTTCCGCCAGCTGCCGGATGGCTAACGCGGCCCTCAGCGAGTCACGGTCCGGCAGGTTGTCCTCCGCGCCCTCAAACACCTGGACACGGCTGTGTGGCTTCAGCAGCATCTCCCTCGGGGAGAGAGAACAGGGTAAGAGAGGGGGCGGGCTCCTCTCCTCCCAGTCGTTTCCCAGCTGAACAGGTGAGGGGGGCATGAACAAGGATGCCTACGGATACCCGTCCTGGCACCAGGCTGGACCCAGTAGAAAAGGGAAGCTGGTGAGGAAGGGAGGCCCTGATCCAGCCAGATTCCCCTCCAGACAGAGAGTGGGGAGCAGCCCCCCAAAGCTCCTTACTGCTTGCCGCTGCACTCCACGGCTGCACGGATCCCCTTGGGAACGCTGATCACTCCCTGCACCAGATGCTGGCCCAGCAGCTCCTCGGCGGCAGCGGCCATGCCCAGCACGGCCTTGCCGAAGCCCACCAGGTAGAGGTTTTGCCGCAGCTGGAAGCTCCGGTCCCGCACCTTCAGATGCCCGCTGCTGGGGTCCAAGGACAGTGCCCGGTGCATCATGGGGCCCGGCAGCACGGCACCGACAGTGTTCTCAAACAGCATCCGAGCCTGCTCTGCCAACGCCATGCCGCTGGCCAGCCGTGCCCCCGGGCGCCCCCGGAGGAGCGGGCGTAATGGGGCTCGGGCCAAGCGGGGCAAGGCCTGCAGGGCTACAGCCATGCCCCACTGCTTTCAGCTCCGCCTGGCACCCATAGCCGCCTAGAGGGGAAGAATACACGAATGAGGCAGTTGCAAGGTTAGAGAAGGGAGCCCCTGAGGGCTCAGGGGGAGTGGACCCCACAGCTGCTGCTGCTGCTGCAAGAATGGACCATCTGCCAGTCCCAGGAGATGTCCCGGGGCTCCCAGCTGATGGATCTCACTCCGGCCCTCGGAGCCCAGGCCTGCCACCCAGCCATGGCCTCCTCTTCACAGGCCGCACGCACGGCGGTCCTCTGGACGCTCTGCCTGGAGTCCAAAGGTCCTGTTAGCTGAGCCCTCCTCCTGGGTCACCCACTTTGGCCGAGGGTTAATCATTTGCAGAGTGAGCAATTCCTATCAGCGGGTTCCCGCCCCGCCCCTTGTCCATCCCTTCACTCTGAGCCCTGGCCCAGGTGCAACGCCCCTTTCTGGCACCGCTTCCTCGCCTCTTCACCACTTCTGGTGCCAGGAGGCTGCTGGCTGTCCCATCCCGGTGACTCAAGCCCGGTGACCTCCCACCTGCTCCATTTCGTTCACGTATGGGTCTGTGTGGGGAGGCTGCAGGCTCGCCGGGGCCCTCACAGGTACAGTCTGAGGAGCCCCAGCACTCACGGCCAGTACAGCAAAGGTTCCGTTTCAAATCAGAAGTGGCAGCAAAGTGTCACCCGTGGTGGAACCTCTAAGAAACCCCAGAACCTCTAAGAAACCCCATGAGGCGATGTACCAGGGGACCCAATCTGCCAGACAGAAAAAGTTGCCCTTCCACCTACATGGCTGGCCAGACCCACCCCTGATAAAAGCATGCCTTTTGGCTCCCACAGAACAAAACAAGTCTTGGGTCACACCACCCACAGCGGCGAGAGCCAAATGGCTACAGCAGGGAAAGGCCAGGCTCCCACAGCGGAGCCCAAATAGTCATTTTCCCCTCGGGGCAGGGAAAAGGCTAAAGAAGCCCTGAGGTGAAGGTCAGGAGGCTGTAGAGGAGTTTATCTCTAAAAAGGCATCTACGTTAATAAATGCCCACCATAAAGGCTGCCAGCTGAGTGCAGCAGAGTGTGGACAGAGCAGGGGAAGGCAGCTGGGAATCAGGTTCCAGCTCTCCCCGAGTGGCTGGGAGAGAGAGCTCAATTTCTCTCACTGGCCTCATCTGCAAAATGAGAAGTGGGAGCCCCTAGGCTGGTTTGGCTCAGTGGATAGAGCATCAGCCTGTGGACTGAAGGGTCCCAGGTTCAATTCCGGTCTACGGCACATGCCTAGGTTGCGGGCTGGATCCCCAGTAGGGGACCTGCAGGAGAAGCCAATCAATGATTCTCTCTCATCACTGATGTTTCTCTCTTTCCCTCTCCCTTTCAAATCAATAAAGATATATATATATATATATATATATATATATATATATATATATATATATATATTTTTTTTTTTTTTTCCCTTTAAAAAAATGAGAAGTGGGATAAGATTGAGACTAACGTTTCCCCCTTGAAGTCTCTGGGCTCTCTGAAGCAGTCCACCGTTAACATACAAAACCTGGACACTCAACACCAATTTATCCCACACTCAAAAAACCCGGCAATGTCTAGCACTCCGCCACTTAGCTTGCTGGTTTTTCACTTTCCTATAAGAGACCAACTCTGTTCACCCCCCGAGTTGTAAAAGGAAACAAAGAGCCGAAATCGGTTTGGTTCAGTGGATAGAATGTTGGCCTGTGGACTGAAAGGTCCCAAGTTCAATTCCGGTCAAGGGCATGTACCTTGGTTGCGGGTAGGGGGTGTGCAAGACGCAGCTGGTCGATGTTTCTCTCTCATGGACGTTTCTAACTCTCTATCCCTCTCAATTCCTCTCTGCGTAAAATCAATAAAATATATTAAAAAAAAAAAAAAAAAAAGGAAACAGAGCACCACCATGCAGACTCTGAAAATGGGCCCAGCTTTTTCCAGGGGCCTCCTGGTGCTGACCTCCTTCAGGCCTGGAGTTAAAAGTATCTTAGCATCTAGCCACAGCTTGGGTGAACTTTGTACTTATTTCCCAAATGGACACAAGCCTAGAGGATCCCTGCCTTGCTACTGGATAGCAGAGCCCAGGGCAGGAGGGCATTCAAGGTGAAGGTTGCCAGAGAAAATACAGGACGTCCAGTCAAATTTGAATTTCACACAAATGATTTTTTTTCTTAAACAAATATATTAATTTCAGGTGTACAACATAGTGATTAGGGAATTGCTTTAATATAGAGATATCCCCTAGAATATTTGGGACATACCTATACTGAAATATTATTTGTTGTTTATCTGAGATTCAAATTTTAAACAGGCTTCCCGTATTTTTATTTGCTAAACCCAGCAACTCTAATCAGGACAACTCAAACTCCAGGCACTACAGCGCCAAATCTGTGGATTCCCAGAACATGACTCCTCCCCGCCGCCAGATGGGGCTAGAGCCACTTCCGGCCGTCGCCTGCTGCTGGCACAGGCCCCGGAAGTGACGTCGCCTTGGCCGGCGGAGCAGGACTTTGCGAGGGAAATGACTGCGGCGTACTATTGGGTGGTAACCCGAGAAACAGGAGCCTGCTGCCACCTGGGCCCGCCGTGGCCCGGCCCAAGGACTGCTTCCGCACGTTTCGCAGCTGAGACTTACCTCCGGTTCCCGGCTGCGGCTCCCAACGCCGGAGGCCGGAAGTACTCGCTGGTGGGCGGGGCGGAATCCGGAAGTGCTGGGTGGGCGGGGCGGGTGGGGTTACCCGGGGTGAATGGTGCTGGGAGGAGCGTGGGAGTCTCCGGAGGGAGGCCCTGGGCTTCGGCTTCGCTCAAGCCGCGGAGGAACGTGGAGGGAGTCGCTGGGCGCCTCGGTTTCTTCCCCGCTGCCGTGGGGGTAGTAATTGCCGCCTCACTGGTTGCTATGATCCGTCCCCTCGTTTTCCCTGTTTGGTGCAATCAGTCTGCAAGCTCCTGTTGGGTGCCTGGCATCGGACTGAGCAAACGGGCCAGAACCCCAGAATCCCTCCTTACCCAACCCACCCGACCCGGAGCCAGGGTGGGTCATCCTCTCCCCTCCCATCGCTGTGGTCCCAAGTAATTTATTGGCGTCCAAATACCAGCTCGACTCAGCAAGAGAGTGTTCAGTTCCGAGACACAAGGGGCTTGTAAACACAGTCCCTGCTCTCACCCTGCGCTCAGGCTGAGCAGGGCGCGATGCCTCACACATTCCAAAGACACAGGAGGGCACACTATTTTTACTACGTTTTCCTGTGGAGGTATGGGGAAGAGCTACATGACAAATCACAGAATAGACTTCCTAAAAATCTTAGATTTTTCACACCCGATCCCTAGCAGCTGCCACATCTCTCCATAGGTCTCCACACCATGCTCTGCTTTTGTCATAAACTCTACCTTCCACCTTCCTAGCTGTCTCCCTGGATTATCCTTTGCTTTTATACTGACTCTTTATAGGGATATCCCCTAGCTCAGTGGTCGGCAAACTCATTAAGTCAACAGAGCCAAATATCAACAGTACAACGATTGAAATTTCTTTTGAGAGCCAAATTTTTTAAACTATATAGGTAGGTACATTGTTATTAACTCAATTAGGGTACTCCTAAGCTGGCCTTTGCTAAAAACTCAAGGGGCCAAAGAGCTGCATGAGGCTTGCGAGCCGCAGTTTGCTGACCACTGCCCTAGATAGTAACTAGAGGACCTTTTATTCTCTATCAACGGCTCCTAAATGCTTCTCCATCCCATCATCCAAGCACAGACACCTTCAGGAGGAGTTGCCTTCTTTATTATTCTTTTCTCAAATATAGTTTACATTCAGTATTGGTGTTTTTTTAAAAAATATTTTATTGATTTTTTGCAGAGAGGAAGAGAGAAGGATAGAGAGTTAGAAACATCGATGAGAGAGAATCATCGATCAGCTGCCTCTTGCACACCCCCTACTGGGGATGTGCCCACAACCAAGGTACATGCCCTTGACTGGAATCGAACCCAGGACCTTTCAGTCCACAGACCGATGCTCTGTCCATTGAGCCAAATCGGTTTTGGCTACATTCAATATTGTTTTATATTAGTTTCAGGTGTACCGCATAGAGGTGAGATAATTAGATACTTTACACAGTATTTTCTCCCTCCATCCCCATGTTTCCAGTGCCCATCTGGCACCACTCACGGTTATTACAATGTTATTTTTTTTAAATATATTTTATTGACTTTTTTTTTTTTAAGAGAGAGGAAGGGAGAGGGATAGAGAGTTAGAAACATTGATGAGAGAGAAACATCAATCAGCTGCCTCTTGCACACCACCCACTGGGGATGTGCCTGCAACCAAGGTACATGTCCTTGACTGGAATCAAACCTGGGACCTTTCAGTCCACAGGCCGACACTCCATCCACTAAGCCAAACCAGTTAGAGCTACAATGTTATTGATATATTCCCTATGCTCTACTTTACATCCCCAGATCTTCTGTAGTTCGGGGAGATTGTAAAAACTTAAAATTTGAATTTGTCCTTGCTTACAGTAAGCTGTCTTCATCCATGCATGCATTTATCCACCCCTCCATCATTCAACAGTCATTTCCCGAGTGTCTTCCATGTGGGCCAAGTGCTGTAACTGCTGCAGTGAGGAAGACGTGGTTCTTTCAGACGGGAAATGCACTCTGCTTTTGTAATTACATTCCCACATTGGTGAGAGGAGTGTAAATTTGAGCACCTCACTAATTATTTAGTGCCAGAGACTCATAAACAGATACCATGTACAGTGCTTTTCTTTCAGAATGTAAGCAGGGGACTAACTGTACCCATTTTTTAACCTCCCACCACACCCTGCAACTACTCACAAGATGCATTTAACAACAGCATAAGGTTTACTAGTAGATGCCCATTGGACTGTGAGCTTCTGGAATGTCATGACTTGGTTTACTTTGTATTTGTACTGCCTTGCATAGGACCAGACACAACAAAGGAATTTCTTTTCTCCTTCTCCTCCTCCTCCTCAT